TTCCTTATAGTATTTAATTTTAGACTCTGTTTTATTTTTCCTACAAGCACTTAGTGCATCGTCACGTAAACGCATCATAAGTTTTATGGTGTCAGTAATCCACGGATATGATTTCTCCTTAATCGTGCAAGACCTTACCGGCGCGTGAGCATCAAACAGGGCGATCATGTGAGTGTTAAAGAAATGAACCATGTCATCAACGTTGTCTAATAAGGAAATGTACTCCAAGCCTGAAAGTGATAAATCCTTCCCTAACCTATCTATGCAAACATCTTTAAGAGGCCGGTATTTTATTATGTATGGTTTGAATTTATCCCGCCTAATATGAAATTCACCCACTATAATGGAATGGCCATAAAGAGAGCCAAGTGGTTCCACGGATACAAACCTTGCCATCATATCCGAGCACAGAAGGTCGATGAGAGTTTCGCTGGATGATGTGAAATGCGTGGGACTAGAAACCAGTTGCGTGAGATTGAGACAATTAAGAAATTCGTTAATTTTATTCGTCTTTATGCCAACAGTGTCCAGTAAATTAACATTAAAATCGCCAAGCAGTATGTAGTGGTCGCAGTCTCCCAGTGAAGTGATAGAATCCGTTATGGCGTCCAAAAATAGGACCAGGTCAAGCCAAGGCGGTCGATAGGCCGTACCCACGGCGATTTTTTTCCCGTTCAATGTCAGAGTCAGCCACATTTGTTCAACTGATTCGAACCTGGGATCAACCACCGCAGTACAAATACGCGCGCTTAATCCCCGGCGAAGATAAAAAGCAACCCCACCACCGCGACCCGAGCGCACACTCATAGGCCGCGGCGTGTGACGTAGTCTATAGCCTGGCACCACAGGAGCCCTTCCCTCCTGTCCAGGTCGCAACCAAGTTTCGTTAATAGCCACCACATCAAAACACTGCCTGGCTAGTGCCCCAATTAAGTCATCATGACCCGTACCCAGTGACCCAGCATTAAAAAAACCAACTTTAAAAAACTTATTTCTTATAGTTGTCATCATTGTAATAAAAGAACAGTATATTATGTTTTGTATATTTAATAATTGATAAAATAGTAGTGTTTGTATTTGTCGCTGTCTAACTATAGTAAACATTGTAATAATATGCTTAGTGTAAAAAAAGGAGAAACAAATAAACGAGTTGTGATACATGTACAGATATAAATATACTTATAAATAATGCAGTAAAAGTTAAGTGTAGGTATCTATGTGTAGTGCTATAATACTGGTTTACGTTTGCGCCACTGATAAGCGTCATGACACATACCGATGCAAAACATAACAGACAGTAACAATTTTTGTATATACCCACATGGAACAAAAAAGTGTAATCAATTTTTAAACAGGTAATAAAAAGTACAATAACCTTCAAATAAACAAATAGTAAGAACAAAATTATATCATCCAGTTTGTGCATAACTTGATAAAGACACACACACAACCCCAAAAAAGATCCACAACCATTGAAAACCATTGAAAACGTTTCTACCGCCCTATACATAGACAACACAATAAGAATACAATTAGTAACAATACAATTATAATATAATAATATTGTATAATAACAATTAGTGTAAGACAAGTGACTTATATCTAATGTCTGTATGCATTTTTAATAGCATTAGGCGTCTAGTCCAATAAATCAGCGACCATTTACATTGCAAATAGGTAACAGATCTCTATGAAAACATTTGCAGTTTTACTAACAAATTATCAAGTATTAACATTAATAATATCACGCTACAGTTATCGAGTGGCTAGCGTCAAAACTGCGCTAATGAGCGCTCAGCATTCGCAATCTCGCGCCATCTGTCTCTAATCAACGAATCGAGTTAATTAAAACGCTTGACAATATGGCGGCGGGGTGTAATTGCTATTAATAAAGCGCTTTCCCGTATAATTAGACGGCTGCGCGCGCGGATTGGCTGCTCGGCGGGCCCTAATCACGACGTGATAACATTGCGCTAATGGCGTGCATAGCTTTCTATTGCATAATCACGACCTGCGCTCTAACTGTCGACGGACTAATTCGGCTTTACTGTGTGAACTTACGTTCCGTTTATATCATAATATCCTAGCCTAATTATATTTCATTATACCGACTTGGATTACATTGATATCGTTCCTCGTTCACCCAATGGCTTGCTCGTAAATATTTCGTCAACTCATCATTTCAAGTTGTTAAAATTAAAACATGTCATAACATGTGATAATTAATTAATTAAAATTTATAATAAATTAATAAAACCTGAACAGTCGCTATTTTAAGTACCATTCATATAGGATTTATGGTAGAAAAAAATGCAATTGTGCATAGCAGCAGATTCATCAAATGAGAGGTCGAAGGAAACAATGATTGACGAGTTCGCACCTCGGTTCGTGCCTTTCTAATTAAGACGACATGCGTGCGCGCACTGCTGCAACTCTTCGCGCTCGTTTACCTCGCAACACACTCATCTTGTCTCTGCTACGCGCTTAATTGTTACATGAGCACTAACAATCTTCTAAACATTCTCAATATTACAGCTACCATTTAATAAACTGCAATCAACATGACACGAAACATTTCCGACTCACATTATAATAAAGTATATTTCTGTTACCATTTATAGCTTAGAGAGAGAGACCTTTCACATGAACAATACTAATCTAAAGCAGACACTAATTTATGACACATGAATAAATTTCAATCATAGAAATGTATTTTAACAATGTCATAACGATAAAAGCGCGCTGTAAACGGGCGCCTCTTATTTCTGTCTTCGGTACATGCTCATTAAAGCGAGTCATGTGCGCGTCTCGGCGTTCTTTTGCTCTCGCTCGCTTTTCCGCTAACTTTTGGGTGGTAGGATGATGGACGACGTCGGTGGTCATATATCATTGCGGTAATATATCGCGAGTGCGCCGAGTGTCGCCATTAACGCATGCGCGCAATTGCCCGTGCTCAAACGCCTGCACGCGCATGCACTATCGCGACTGCTATAAGAAGCGTCTCACAAATCGACGCGCGCGACCACAGCTAAACGTGCATAAATCTTATTAATGCTATTCTTATTTTCGTCCACTCTCTCGATCTTGTAAAATCATTAGAACTCGTAGAACGACTGTGCGCGTCGTGTAGCTTTTGTTAAACATCCCAACGTTATATGGAGACATAAAATTTACTACGAACGAACGTCCCAATCAAAATTATATTGTAAATCATAATACGTCTACACAATGATGACGAACTGCCTGGGTGGTCGACAGTCATCCCATCAGTTATGAAGTTCTTGTAGTCCGCGGGTCAAAAGCCGCATACCGTTTGCGCAAGCCCGATGGCGAATTGTCAAGCGATCTCGCGCACCGCTGCGCCTCTGGCATTGTCGACAAAAAGTAAGAGGCCGCTAGACGAAGCTGCGTCTCAGCTTACAACTAAAGATTTGTTGTTTCCGTTCTCGCCGCCTCAATGACTACCATTTTATGTCGATTAGGAGATAGTGTTTCACGCGCCCGCTACCGACACCAGTTTTTGTGACACTCCTTTCTGCTTACAACGAGTTTATTATCGTTGATCAGTTGCTGTCGGTTATTTTTTGTTATTTCTACATCAACGATTCGTTGTTCTACTTTTAGTTTACTTTTATTTTGTGCTAAATATTATGTACTGCTCCCCTCTTCAAATTAGGAATGAATACAGGAAACCGCAGTGATATAAGAGAATGAAACGGGGCTATTACATCGACCAACCGCAAGCCACTTTACTCACTGAACAAAAACATACACCTTTACAAAAATGTCTACCCATTCATCTTTCTCCAACGGAGACATTAAAGAATGTCTCCGTTAAGAAGGGGAAGGGGACGACAGCCTAGTATCAAAGTCGTATGAAACAATTCATGCTCAACCTTTATTTTCCCTTACACCACCACAAAGGAGTATTCGAAATTGAGCTCTATCGTTATAGCTTAGAATTTTTTGTAGGTTTTATTGTAAATATTTGTTATTGCTGACAATGTATCTGAAGCGGGGAGTGAACCTAAATATAGGCGGCGACCCTCTTAACTAGGGACTACGTTTATTGAGGGACACGCTGCACTGATGTGCCCCTTGTGAAATATGAAGTAGATTTTCCTTCTTTGGCCCCTATAATAGACTTTAAGCCTGTGGTACTACTACATTCATAATGCCACTAAACTTTTTGCTATCAGATACAGTAGTAGCGTACATAGGTGTACCTAATATGATTCATGTAACTAACTTGAAAGTTTTATAATAGATTATTTTGTGGTGTTCCGAAACACGAGGTACCTATAGGTACTAATTACATGCGATAATTTGCGATACGATAACACCAGTCCCTAATGAGGGAAAGTAGATTTGTGTCGGTCTCAGCGAGCGATAATTTCAGTTCAGCCGAGTAATTGACGAATAATTGCGTTAATGTGAAAATATACGGTTTAACATAACAATGGAACGAGGAAGTCGATAGTATAGAAATGTATATTGTTATAATTTTATGTTTTGCACAAACAAGCGTTTTGAAATAATTGCTGAGTGCGGTTTCTTTGTACTTTGCCTTAGTTTTATAAATGTTTTAGCCCTATTCTATTTCATTCAACTTCTATCTTTTACCCCTTTTGAAAGGAGTCGCGGAGAACCTAACGGGTAACCGGGGCTCCGGCTCGACGTGCAGGAGAAGGAACGGGGTGGTTTTTAGTCAGTAAGAGTCTGACACTCCCTTCCGCCTCACCCAGGCGGAAGCAGTCATTCGATGATTTTCCCCCCTTAAAAAAAAAAAAAAAACCCTTTTGAAAGTACAATTATTTTGGTCTAAAAAGATTATTCAATACTACTATTGCAATATTATTAACCCTATAGAACCTACAGATTAATCGACAATTGCAGGTTTTTCAGCTAGCTAAAGTAGAATTATAATAATTATTAAAATAAAGCAATACTTAAATAACTTAATCTATAAGCTCTAACGTGTTCTCTTTCATTCGTATCAGACGCATGTTCCCGACGGTGCGCGTATCGTTCGCCGGGTGTCGCGCGGACGCGCGCTACGCCGTGCTGCTGGACGTGGTGCCGGTGGACGGCAAGCGGTACCGCTACGCGTACCACCGCTCGTCCTGGCTGGTAGCCGGCAAGGCGGACCCGCCAGCACCCGCGCGCCTCTACCCGCACCCTGACTCGCCCTTCTCCGGTGACCAGCTGCGCAAGCAGGTCGTCTCCTTTGAGAAAGTCAAGCTCACCAACAACGAAATGGACAAAAATGGACAGGTTAGTCAAAATAATATTGATATTTAAGATGAAGTAAACAGTTAGTGACGAAACATACAAAAACATCAATTAAGTACTACTCTGAACAAAATCTGTAACGCTTTGTTTTTACTTCTGCAACAGCTGGTCCTGAACTCTATGCACAAATACCAACCGCGCATTCACCTGGTGCTGCGACGAGAGGGAGCTATCAATGCGCCCATCACAGACTTAGAACAAGAAGAATTCAAGACGTTCATATTCCCCGAGTGCGTGTTCACTGCCGTCACCGCGTATCAGAATCAACTCGTAAGTACTGTGACAGTTTTGGCACACCTTGTTTACTATTGAAGTCCATTTGCTACGTACGCGGTTTATTTGGCATCAGGAGTCCTGTTCTTAATTCTATCATTTGATATCTAAAATAGATCAGAGAGACAAACGTTTGAAATCGCATAGCGCCGGTCGGCTGACTATCGACGAATGCTATTTGAGTCGCACTAATTGCATCTCGCTGAAAGGTATGTCCAGTCTGAACAAAGGGAGGTGACACATAATTTTTTGTGTATCGACGGCCACACGCGGGCGACGCTGACGACGGACGGACAGCGCGTCTGACGCGTGCAACACGGTGACGATTAAAGTTTTCACCCGAGCTAAATATAAAGTCCTAGTAGATGTCGAGTCGATCGTGTCCAGCGACATCTCAGCTATTATTGCCATTGCTTTTTCCATGTATAATTTCCTCGCCGAAGATTTCCGAGAACTGCCCGTTAAATTATGTCAACTTTCAAGTTAAACGTTCTCTGAAACTCACGTACCAATTTCGATCACCAACGGTAAAACATTCGTGAGTCATTGGGCTGTTGTGAAAATAAGCTTTACAAAAGTTTCTCGCGCGTTGCGCTTTGTAATTATTCGGCGTGCGAAATGTCTAATGACAGGTTAGGTGTGACTATGAGTAGTAGTTTGATGATTAAATGAGATGTGTGCACTAAATAAACGAGTTGATTAAGTAACACTTTATACAGCGGCTCGCTGCCCGCTCCGCTCGTAAAGTCGCGGATGTAGTGCCCGCCGCCGGCAGCGCATGTGTCGCCATGCGCAATTAATTCTCTGTCACAAGAGCGTTTGGGCGTCTCCAAGTTCCTCGTTTTGTATCATCCCGCGTAGTAAAATAATTAGGACGTTTTGAGGTTCATAAAGGAAACGTTACTTTATATCGACAACGCGGTACATAAATCTTCATTCGTTCGTTAATTAGCTGTTACGGGTTCGGTTTAGTGTTACCATTTGTAGATATTTTGTTACTTGAACCAAATTTATTTATTGTTGTTCAAGAAAAGCTTTTTGTATTGCCACACAATCAGAGAAAATATTATAAACGTGAAAGTTTTATGTTCGCATCGCAAACAGAGCGTTAGGTATATGGTATGACTTTTTTACAGTAATAATTAGGTGGTAAAAGAGTGATAATTAAAGGCTTTTTTTTTCTTTTGACCACGCTGGAGGAATCTAGTATAGCCGTGGATGAGAAGCTAGTATGCACTCATCTGAATATTGTCAAGTACTTTGGACATAAAACCATGTTTACTAACAGTACACAGGATGATAATGTTGATAGGAACAGGTGGCCATTAGTGTAAAGCATCAAGCATCCATTGATCGCTCTGCGGAAGCTCCACCTTCGCAGTCGGCTTCCAACGACTCCCCAGGGTCTGTGATTATAGATTTTCATTGATTCTAACGCGTTCCTAGATTTACTGCCGCTGCCTAGTGACAGTGCCATCCATTACGAATGCGATGTAGCTACTTAGATATGCATACATGTGTAAGCTGGCTACAAACTACACAAGTAGAAAGATGATATGCATATTTGAAAAGTCAAAGCAAGGCTGAGGGCGTTTTATTAAATAAGATATAAAAAGGTCATTTGATACCGATTACATACAATTTCAAAATGTCGAAGGTAGATAAACTACCTACTTGACGAGGTAAAAAGCTCGATATCGAAACTTCGATCGCGAGTGTCCAGGCGGGCGGCGCGCGCGCACCTCGATTTGGCTGACGTCACAACTCTGACAGCTAAAACATTTGTCGAACAGCGGAGATAGTGTCATTGATAACTCAATCCCTTATAACAATAAGAACACACTTAGCATGTTTGCACCTGCGCCGTGCCAACCAAGATCGATAGAGCCCGCATAACTTTAGGATGTATAAAAAGTGGCCAGTTTAACACTTCATAAAAAACGATCATATAATCCTACAACACTTATTCGAGAGATAAGAAAATGTGAATATTTTAACCACTATCTAGATATAATTTCTGAAAAAAGTGTCACCGAAATAAAATGCGCGCGCGACGTTTGTTAAATCGATGGGAATGAAACATCATTATTGGTGCTTTATCATATCGAAATGTTGATATAAGATGAGATAAAACATTTTACAAAAAATGTGTGTTGTGTTTTTTGTGTGTGTATCGCGGTGTGAGACTGAGCGTCGCCTGCGCGAGCGCCGCGGGGCGGTTTCCCGGGAAAGCGCCGTGGGCCCGACCCGCTTCAATATTTAAAATTTTTACACCCACAACACTATTGTCCTGTTGCTCGTTTTCTCTAGAATCCTTTGTCTGAGATTGGACTCGCATCGAGGTGACAATGTTTGTTGGAGTTTACGCATCTTCAATGCACACAATGCGTTTTTTTATTAGCCGATGACTTGTGAATTTGTTATGATCGATGGCCTCGGGAGGATATTCTTCGAGTAAAAACTTGCGGATAGCAACCTGCGACGATATGTTACCTTTGTAAACAAACATGTATATTATACTTCACTTTGTTCAGAATATTTGTTTATCAATAACAATCTTTGATGAATCCTTTCGCAGAACATTTCAAATTCATTGTTAAGTAGGCACAACATTACCCTTCTCATATTGTGTTTGGAATCGATATTTTATTTGTATGAAGTAAACATATTATTATATTTTTGTTTCTTTTCATTGGATGGTAAAGTAAATCTCATCTTCCACCTGCCGTTACTCGGGGTCAAATTTTATCTTTTCAATCATCGTTCTAAAAAACCGATTAGGTATACATATTTATTTTGATTTCGTAGATACGATCAATCAAAGCGATAGGTTCATGCGTTCTGAATATTAATTTTATTAACAAGTAGGTGATAGGTATTACCTACATCAGAGTCCAATACGTCCAATGGGTCGTACACCGGACAGTATACGATTGACAAATACAAAACAAGATAAAAACATTAGAGAAATCGTGTCAGTAGTAGACTATTTGTTAGTCATGCTATATCACACTATTACGCGGCTTGAGGAGATAATCACGAAAATAACTGCGCACGCTCACTCAGAGTCACAAGTGTAAGTAGAAGCAAACACGCTCAATACGCGCTTAATTGAAATTTATATCTCATTTCTCAGTATCAACAATCAATATTCTAAAATCTCCGAAGCTATTCTCACATTGAGCATCCACAAACGAGTTCCACTCGGGTATAATCGAACAATATAATGAAGGAGTAAAGGTAAACACAATTTCAATAACAAAGGGCGACCATGACAAATAAACATATTTCACGGGCCAAAATGGCTGCGGTCATGTGTCACGTGGTGTCCCCCCGCACCCTCGCCGCCCCACCCCCTCACGTTTCCTTTTCTTCACCAATAATCGATTCATTCTTTTCAATACGATCCTTTTATATTTGTTAAGTTATTGCTCGTTTGTACAACATTGCTTTGTTGAAACTCTCCTTTATCTTGTCATTAGTTTCTTCAATGAAAAGCTTCTTTCTTTTTTCAAATAGATTTTCTTTTCTTCAGGTTAAATACGTGCGTGTACTGGAATGGTTAAATTGAGCATTTTATCATAACAGTTCTTTTAGTGGGTCATTCATTATACAAGAATCAATCTAACTTGTTTTTATTTGCAAAGCACTGAGGACTTGTGTGTAAAGAAGTATAAAACGAATAGACAGCTACGATATTATTCGACACAACCAATTAAATAAAAAAACGTTGCTATAAAACCATCAATGTCTCTGCAACAGTTCATTATTTAATAATTCAATAAATAATAATGTTCGATAACACGAAACGCACATAAGTCAAAAATACAAGAAGTCAACGTACTTGCTTAGTGGATTTAAAATAATTTAAGATGAAATTATTTATTAGGTTGGTGTCCCTTTCTCTCTTGAGCCACGTTACCCAGTGAGTTATATGCTGGTCTCAGTCTCTCCTACCATCGATCACTGGAGGTGTGACGTCACGCAGAGCCGTCGTGTGCGGCCCGACTCAATTTATTGCGCCTGCGCACCAAGCCACTACAGAAAAACTAAACATTTGTTTGTATACCAAGTCTTTAATTAAATTTACAAATATCATTCTGTCTTATTCGTAGATATTATTACGTTTGACGTGCAAAAAATACTCAATAACAAAGAGAAAACTTAACACCTCTTCCACTGATGTGCAATTTAATATTTAACACGTTATTAAATTTATATCGAACCTTTTTTATATCGTTTCTTATTCTACATTTTTAATAGATAAAGAATGAAGTGTCTGTTTGAAATATGTCAAATTCACTCCGGATATAATATTTACACCATTACAAATAATTGATGCATTAAAAATTTATTTATTTTGAGATGTGGCAGATTGCCTACTCGCTTATATTTCGAGTTTACAGCCGTAACTACGGGCACGAGTGTAAAGTTGACTTGATACTTACTGTGGGCCCTTTGAAAGACCTTATGAATCGGTTGAATAGGGAAGCGATCGACAGAGTTCCGAGTTACTAAAAAGCGAGTTTAGCAACAGAATGAAATTGACAAAGGCAATAAACAAATTGAGTACAAGACCTGAAGGTAGCTGAGATGTGGATGTGCAGGATGATAGTGAAAATAGTGACGGAGATAGCAGACGACCTGTATAACCTGCACACGTTGTCATTTATTGTGTCCGTGGGCACAGTACGGGAGAGTCTGCAGCTCATTGACGTTCTAGACGAGGACGAGAATACCTGACACCCCCAAATTTATTTATCAATCTGAAAATAAACCTTATTTTCAAAATCACTATGTTTTGTTTTTGTGTGCCAAAGTTGCAAGTAGCTTGAACATGAAATAAGAAGACTCGATCGAATATGCTTGCCCAAAATGCTCCCCACATTGATTACATTGCTTTAAATCCACGAATGAAACCGTTACCTGAAATATTTGCCTTATTGACAAAAGTTGTTTACAATCCTGTAGGTAGAGGTGCATACTAAACAAGTTTTGGAACTGCAATTAATTCGGAATGTTCAGAACACTTTCTGGGAATATTATCACATATATTGGTCCGGTTATACGTGGATGCCACATGCAGCGTTCATTATTTTGGTGCATTCACGAATTACTGTCAATAAAGCATCGGTTTTCTGGAAAGCATCGTTACAGTGCGCAGCTGTAGGTCGTACGGGTTTCACGAGACTTTTGATACCAGAACACTTTGCGGAACTCTCATTAAACAGCTTCACATAACTACATTCGCTTAACTGCCATATTATTCAGAGGTTATACTCACGAATTAACGGACGAGTAAAATTAAGAGAAACAGCTCTTCTATTACAGTTAAGGCACAGCACTTAAACGTTAAACGGTTCTAAAGATATGTATTTCCAGTCGATTAAGGCATATTTGCGTTATTACTTTCAGTTAACTCTCCCAAACAATAGAAAATACTAACTTCAAGCATTCTTAATCATGTGTTTTTATTGTTTTTTCGAGATTAGATGTTATTTTTATATTTTCTTTTTCTTTTTTACAAGGAGAAACATAAATATGCCGTTGTTTTGTCTGTTAATACATCACTAGCAGATTGCTGAGTCGTCGTTCGTCGCAGTACTGCATCAATCAATGAGATATGTAGGCAGAAGGAGCGCGCGCGCAAGCTAACGTGACATTTATATATTCTTCACAATGTTCCTGTCGTGTCCCGATCGTCGCTCACGTGTCCCTTTACACTGCGCACCATTTCGTCTTGTTATGAACTGTCACTAAACATTCTAAACGGCCATTAATTAGCATACATTTTTACTACATTTGTTCCTTATGTAGGAATATTTAACTAAATTAAACTCGCTACATTGGAACAATAATAACATTTGGTAAAATGTCTTTCATGCAAATATCTCATCTCTTATGTCTTCGTATGTAAATGCTTAAATAAGACATAAATTCTCCTCAACTCGGCAGCTTCATTTATAAGCGCACGTGCAAGACATCTGTGGACAAGTTTTTACTGTCAAATCGGAGTATGAATCGCGGAATACGAGGCTGGTACTTCCATAAACAATACATCACCACCCCAATAATTAGAGCATCGTTTGCAGAGCTGCGCGCGCGGCGGTCGCGGTGCGGCGGTCGGTGGCGCGACGCTCATCTTTCTCTCCTTGACGCCTTTTTGTAAGATTTTTTGTTTCCCGCCCGGGAATAATGTCATTATGGCGCCTTTAATGTTGTCAGTGAACGGGAGCGCGCCGCCACCGCCGCCGCCCAAGGCGAACGTTTGTTGATACTTAAATTAGGTTGTTTTGACACGCCTCGTTCTTATGTTTGTACTAAATCTAATAAACGTCAGTAGCGAGAAAGCGTCTCATTCATTATTTCGGTGTTCTCTGAGCGATAATACATTTTAAGTAGTTTTGTATAATTCAATGCGATGGTACCGTGGATGAAATGCCAGTGGGAGTAGACTGGGTGTCGTTTACGTAAACGGAATTCAAAAACAAACATGAGGAATGGAAACAATTACCTACGGTGCGGTGGGACAGTGTGGCATACATAATGTATAATCCGTCAATATTGTCAGCTACTACTCGCATTGTGGTGGAGTCATTACGTGTGGCGCAGGCGCGTCGAGAGTGTCGCCATTGTAGTCAATGGCGCTGCCAGGTGGGTGTACAAGTGTAAGTAGGTGCCGCGACATGCCGGTGACCCTCGCACCGACCGCGCCCCTTTACTGACTTAATGCACTCGGCCAATAAACATCTACATGAAAAGAAACTTAAGCTAAAGACACCCATTAATTTCCAGTACTAATCTTCCTCAATACCATTATATCCTTAGCAAAAAACAATCATATTATTCAAACATCTAATTCATGGTAATCTAATGCAAGACGGAGCACATTCTTCGAGGCAACTGACAACGCTTCATTCATGTCCCGAGGATGAATGTCGATTTGATGTCATAGTGGTGAACAAACCGAGCCAGGATCCGATTTCCATTCCACGAGGGACAAAAATTTGAATGGAATTTACATATTCCTGCCGTTGATGCTCATAATTATTATTTAGAGACCATGCGTTATGGGTATCAAAGAACAAAATAAAACAACTTAAATTCGGTCACTGATATTTTCGTAGCAAAATTCATTCATCAGAGAAGGTAATAAGCAAACGACGGGTATAGACATATTTTTAGAAGAGATAATGTTAAATGGGCCACGAGTGGTAACAAATGTTCTTTGTCTAGTTTCTCTGTAACTATTTTCGAAATCATTAGTCTTCGAGTGACACGTTGCTCGTGAAATTACTCACCGCAAAACAGAACATGACGTGGACCGGTCAATATTTTGTACGGTTTATGAATTCCCTTTGATCAGGGACAATGAGACGGAGATATCTAGTCAAAGCATTTCATAGATTAACGGTGATCAAGTCAAGTCTGATGGAATACTTCAAACGCAACATAAATATCTTCAACGAAAATTAAGAAGTTAATTGTCGCTACAATGGAATGTCCGCCTGCAATAAACTAAACGTTTTACAATGTAACACTGATTGTAATTGGTTTTTTCTGAGGTTTTTTGTAACTTGTCTTTGTTTTGAAGTGATTGTACTCAAAAGAATTCGATAATTAATTGTAAGAAACGAACATTTCAAAAGCGTCACAGAAATAATTTCATCATAGATCAACGGTTCAGTCTGTTAATAAGAGAAAAGGCACATTGTCTTATTTTTGACAGCATTTTCGTCAATTTAACACTTGGCTAGACGCGTTACATTTTAGCGTAATTTCTTGAGTTCGTTGTGCTAAAACTTGCGCAGTGTGAGTGTGAACATGTGAGAACAATGTACAATTAGGTGTCGCGTAGGCGTGTGGGCAGAGCTACAGGTATGCAGCGGGCGCGGCTGCCGGCTGCCCGCTACCCGCGACTCAATCGCCAGGTAATTACCGTCGCCGACTGGACATGCTGAAAGATTGACACCACCGCGACCACTCTCGATGACTTGTTTATTGCCCGCCATTAAAAAATAATACATTTTTCTCACCTCCACGTCATAAAACTGCCAAGAATATGCTAAAATTAGTTTCGATATTGGTTTAATCCGTTCGGATATTAGGCGAGCAGGCGCTATTTAATGGTAACAGGTTTCCGTGGAAGGTTTTATCGTAAATATTATTCACAAATTGTGTGGAGCCGCAGCAGGGGTGCTGCCACTCAGCGAGGGGGCGATTTTTCATCGACGCTGCTCTGCTCTGCCAAACACATTTTTTAACACCTCGCCCCGAACTTAAATCAAATATTTACCCAATACTTAATTTAACTTTTTTTCGTATCTTTAATGGTTGCCTAAACATACCTAATGATCTATACCAATAACAAATTGGACTCCTAAATATTTACATTTCTTCAATACTATGCTTCTATTAAGTTGCTCTCGCTGAGTTTACTCAGTCTTGTTCACAAGCCTCATATTAATCTGCTATACTCAAGACTAAACCGTAATGAGCTTCTTTATTCCTTCTTAATCGACAAAGCTAGAACACCGTAGACCTGTTTGTACGAACAATAGTCACTAAAACACTATGAAACCCACATTACGTGGCAGGTTTAAAATGTGCACAGTATCGTAATAGCGTGGTAGTCAAGTAAAGTGATAAACTGATGTGGAATGTCGTCAATAAGTTAACCTTATTAGTTGGTGTGTGCTGAACGCCACGGGCGGTAGTGCTACGGGCCCGTTCACACTGAGATATGCAGAACCTTTACTGACCCATTACAATATAAACGGCTGCATAATGAAATTAACTCGCTTCGTCTGAACAGCTCCTTATGATAATCGTCGACCCTTCTCTTCCATGGATATCGAAACTGTACTATTCCATCGATATAATTACACCATTATTTGTATGAACTCGTTTCTGTAAATGTTGCATCTAAATGTCTATTCGGAGGAAATCATGGTGTCTCTTTTGTTTCAGATCACGAAACTGAAAATCGACAGTAATCCATTCGCTAAGGGATTTCGTGACTCTTCACGTCTCACCGAGTTTGAGAGGTAACTATCACATTAATGTCTGCGGTTAGAGGTGTCATTTATTGATACTGTTATGTAGTCCCATATTTTTTCTATACCAGAATGTTTGTAGCGAAAGAAACTGTTATTTTGTAATGATGATAATTAATTAGATGGACACACGACAGTGACAGCCATTTATTATCACTGCTAAGTGTTCATTAAGCTTAGCTCGTGCCACACAATTCGGTTAGTTCTCTAATCGTACACGCATTGGACACGCTCTCAGAAACAAATATAACTGTCTGATGCTGATTGATATCTCCACGCGAGCAATTATGTCTCAGTATTTATTGCTTCTTAGCCAATCCGATGTATTTAATAGCGGGTGAGCCGACATCAAGTTTCCACCCGTGTAATTTATAATCTAACAATTTCTCTCACCACATTCGCTTTGCAAATACAAATCTTATTGCTCGCTTTCGCATTTCTAATGCAGCTCTATGTTCTCTTTATATTTGGGTGTTTTATTTTTTTTTGTTTGTCTGTTGAGATACTATATCACGGGGGAGCACGAAAGAACATCAGTCTTCCCCGACGACGCGCGCTACAGCGCCGCCAGTCATAGGTAGATACGATCATACAATCATATTACATAACTGCTACAACTTACTCGGAACGAGCAAGTGTCTAAAGTGTAACTCCTTACCGTTCAGGGAGACCATGGAGTCGATGTTGGCTGAACAACACTTCCTACGTTCACCACTGCGACCGTTTGATCTGGACCAACATAACAACAACTTAACGTTGGAAGAGAAGGCGATATTGGCAGCACGGTCACAACTGTTCCTGCGTGCAGCGTACCCGCTGTACGGTGTGCCAGCCGCGGCGCTGTGGGGACAATGGGCGTGTCTGGCGCCACAGTTGCTGGCACAGCAGCATCTCGCTGCCTCTGGGTCCGGCCTGCAGCTGCCGCGACCGGTGTACCCGGGTGCTTTGGGTGCGGGTGGTGCAGGCCCGCAACCGCTGGCTCAGCACCGATTCTCTCCTTACCCTGCTCGCCGTGCCTCACCAGGGTCCTCACCAGACTCGCTGCGCGACGCCAGCCCGCACCCTTCGCCACTGCACCCGCCGCATACCCCGCACACCCCACACGCGCCGCACCCGCCCCACAGCCCCACTTAGTGATAAAACGCCGAATAAAAACCTCCCCGAGATCTCCCTGTAATAATATGCGATATTGTATGAGAGTCTTTATATGGAATGTTTCTGAGAGAACACAAAAGGAAATTTGAAGTGCGTCGGTGTTTCGCTGGGAAACGGGATGGCATCGTGAACTTCGATAATTTTATGCGCCGAGAAGTGAATAAACAGAGTGCGAGTGCGTGGAGAACATTTCGAAGTGCGACCTGAAACGTGCGAGTGGGAACACCGCGCACCGCGCGCTCCTCAAACTGTTATTACTCAGACTGTGAACTTGTATTATATTGTAAAATATTATTTAACTGTACTTTAAATCTGTAATTATTGTTATATGTTCCTAATAGTTTCGTCTCGTAGTGATGGTTTCTGCTAAATTCATGTTATAGCAAATTAGAGAGTCTCGCAAAAACTAAGCATTTGATTGCCGTGTACATTTCGTTTGATTTATTTTGTAACTGGAGAAATAGAATATTGTGAGAGCATTACTGTATGAGCTGTTGATGTCGTGGACGTTGGTCTCTCAATATTAGTGGCACTCGACACTACTTGGCTGATTTCATCTTGTTTAGGTAAAATGTGCAATACAAGAGAATTAAAAATTGTTTTAGTGAAACTTAGAAGTTTAGTAAGATATAGATGTATCGATAAATAATTAAATAGTAGAAATTATATTGCTGTCTATGTTTACATTAATTCCTGCATCCAAACGACAAGCGGATGTATAGATGTACCTACACGGTTACTTTGTAGTTAAATTATAGTTATTAAAAATAATATATTGCTAAAGAAAACAATTAAATGTTTGTTAACATATATTTGCTTTGTTTTATTTTTTTTTTCTTTTAATATGTAAGTTGGAACTGGAAGGCGCATAACACACAAATCGATTTCGAATCGAATCAATGGATTGTAAAGAAAATAATACGAAAATCGACTTGATCGATAATTTATACTAACTAGTTATGTTAAGAGTCCTTAGTTCTTACGCATCATCCATAAAAAATACTTATGAACGAATGAAATCTCCAATAACGCTGCCCAATTCGAGAATCGAACCCAAGCCTCGATCCAAGAAACTTCACACACCGTGAAAATCGACAAACAGACAAAACGTTTGTATAGTTTTTATTTATCACTTAATTGTAAAGTTGGTTAACCTATAATTGGCGACTGTATAAACCCAATACCGATTGTTACCTTTATTATCTCTTAATACCATGTATACAGAAGCTGTTGGTTTACCCATTCAAATAAAAAAAGGTAAGTAAATTGAAAACAAAAAAGAAATAAGACGCCACGAACGCTACGGACTGAATTCGAGCAGGTAGGTTATCTTCCTGCGTACCTACCTACCTATATAATATTCTGAGATCAGGTAGATGGTAGGTGATCTTAATCATAATAAAAATATCCACCGCAAAACATAGGCATAGGCATAGGCAATAAATACCTAACATAACATCACGCCTTTATCCCCAAATGGGTAAACTGAGGTGCACATTACGGCAGTTAATGCCACTGTAGTAATACCCACTTGTCATTATTTATGTTATAATTCCCATGTAATAGGGGTTGAACCTATTGCCATATACCGGACATAATTTTTTTTTTAATATAGACGTTGCCCCACAGTGGGATTTTCTCCTGTGTCGTGGGTGCGTTTACAAACATACAAGTTCACATACACATGACATCTAGACCCGAAACAACAATTTGTGGATCACACAAAGTGTTGTTCCGTGCGAGAATCGAACCCGCGACACGTTGCACGGCAGCCGGTTGCCCAGCCACCGCACCAACCGTGCAGTCAATTCCAGACTCCGTGCTTAGTAGCACGTTAATAGCAGTAACTAGTGTTACTGAGATTTTTTTTAAATCCGTTAATACTTTGCCCGTCCTGGGAATCGAACCCGAGACTCCATGTCCTTGTTATTGACTACCTTATTGACCACTAGGCCAATGAGGTACTTAGTCTATTAATACAAATTACTGACATGCCCGTTTTCATCACCCTCTCCTAAACTTTAAGAAACCCCTGAGCTAAGATAGGTAATAGGTGAAATTTAACGGCGTTTTAGTTTTCACCAACTTATAAGACGTGACACCTAACATTACTTATTAACTTTACATGGTAAGTTTGCTGCTACGTGATGCTAAGACACTCTTAATTAAAAGATAGTTTAGGGGTGCTTGGTAAAAAGGGCCATTAAAAAAAGGTGAAAACAGCCATTAGACTACAAAAAAGGAAATAATTATTTTATTAACCGACTTCAAATAAAAACGGGAGGTCCTCAATTTGACATGAATGTATGATTTTGATCTGGAGTTCAGAAAAGTGTTTGTTACTTAGTATATTAATTAAGTGTCGGAGAGCCATGCTTCGGCACGAATGGGCCCGCTCGACCGGAGTGATACCACGGCCTCACAGAAAACCGACGTGAAGCAACGCTTGCGTTGTGTTTCGTCGTGTGAGTGATGTTACCGGAAGTCCAATTACCTTCCCCTTCCCCAATCTCCCCAATCCCTGAATCCCCAACGATCCTCAAACTCCTAATCCCCAAAAAGCCGGTGACGCACTTGTAACGCCTTGGTGTTCCAAGTGTCCATGGGCGACGCCGATTGTTAACCATCAGGTGATCCGTCTGCTCGTTTACTGGAGTATGCCTTAAAAAAATAAGCGAAAGAGAAGAATGAAGTCAGTTTTTTTAAAGTTGTTTATGCAAGATTTCTTATAAAAAGGAAAAATCTACCGTCTATTAGAAAACGAAAAATTTCCAAATAAAATGGAATTACATATACGTGGACCATACGTGATATAAAGTTCGCCCCCAACTTTATATCAAACACGGGTCAAAGAGACCAAAGTACCTAGTGCTAATTTCACCAAATTTCTCGGAACTAATAATTCAAAATAAATCATCGATTTTATTACACCTCTTGTTCTCCTAATTCCCCACGCCTGCCTATATTGCCATATTCAAACTCCGTGTTCCTGAATTTCGAAAATCGAATACCCAATCACCAGTGTGATTGGGTATCCGTATCCGTGCTCATTGCACGGTCGGGCCAGTGCCCGACCGTGCAATGAGCACGGAACCAATGACTCAACAGCAACAGTCTCACTATCCTTCAACAATCGAAGCAGTTACATTTAAAAAAAAAATCTGACGAAGATAATCGTCCTTTTTGAAGTTCTAGCTAAAGCTACATGCGATATTCTCTAGTTCGACATGTACTTACATTCTACAGTATATAATATACATAGGTACATAAATTATCAATTAATAAAATTAAAGTACGTGTACCTTATTGCAAAATAATAGCCCATTTCATACTAATTTCAGTGGACTGTTTTTTATTTGGAACCTCCTGTTTCATGAAGTAAGCAAAAAACATTATCTATCTACTTTTTGGGCATCTTATATATCTTATCTGATAACATAACCCAAGTGATAAGTTACCATCAGGTGATACGTCCGCTCGTTTGCCTCCAATTCCATTAAACAAAATAAAAATAAGTATGTATTATGTAAATACGAAAATGAACCTTACTTATGATAATAATTAACATTATTATCGAACTTTTCATCAAGGTCATAATCGTCGTTTTTGTAAATGGGAGTTAGTTCACGACAAATTGTTTGTAATTTACTATATGGCCGGTAGATGGCGGTGGGTGTCGCTTTAGCTACGTAATGTTATAGAGAAGCTCGGCTCGGAGTTTCGGAGCAAGCACTAGCAAACGATCTTTTAGTTACTTGGTTTATTTTTATGTTTCTATTTTATCTACTTTTAAATAGACAGAGTATAGTTATTCCTAGAAATTATTCTGCTTTTAGGAATCACTCTGGTCGCCTATTTATTAAGCCTTGTGGATAACTCAGAGCGTGCACGGAATCGAATACTAAACACGCTGTGTAGCAGATGGATGCCCTGCAAATTGCCTTGCAATGGTTGGATGGTTGATGTTACCTTTATATTGACTAGATGCGGGAATAAATAATAAATTCATTTCCTCAGTTCTACTTTAAAAACAGTTTATGAAAATCTAGTTCTTTTGGTGACAAAAACATTTCAATAGCACTCGTACTGTCTAGTTACTACAGAACAGGAAAGTGTGACAGATTGCAAAATGGCAACAAATTAGAGGGACGTCGGGCAATTATGCAAAGCGGCTATAAAGTTATCTTTAGGAAAACAACGGCGTCACCCCACGCCAACTATTCAATTAAAATGAAGCAGTGTCGGGGCAACATTCGAGTCACATAGGAAGGGTCGACTACATCGAATTAGTTGCGCGCGTGGCTATATTACTGGGACAAATTTCGGGTCTCTAGGGTGCTAGAGAGACCCGCAGGGCCGTGAATGCAACGCTAATCTAATCGGGATTGTACCTAATAAATGTTGTAGCCAGTGACACTGCCACCAAGAATTTATTGCTTGTAAAAGTGTTTCCAATCGCAGTTATTGTTCGGATGACGCTCCAAATAAACTCCGATTGAATTTAACGTTTGACTGAATATTTCATTTGATTTTAGTGCCGGTGGTAATGTTGTTGCTTTAATTAGTTTATTTATTAACGATGGGGGTACTTTTGCAAGGGATTGGAACTGGTCAACTGGTTGTATAATAATTTCACGTTGGTTAAATATATTATGATTTTGTTTATTGATGGACTCTTACATAATTTCCATCTTCTAAATACATTTAACGAAGTTTTTCATAAACTTTTAACTGACTTTGTATAGTTTTTATTTACCTAATGCAAATAATGCAAATAAAGGATTCCCTCCCACAGCTTTGAAAAAATTCAACGGTGCCAATCAAATCATAGACCCTATACACTCACAATTCACATTCACGTCCACTACCCTAACAAACAAATGCAAGGGAAGCAATCTAAACATAAACAAAACAATGTCCTATCATGCTTACAGCACTCAAATCTGAAATAGCGACCACCTTAGTGAACATAACATGAA